AGAGGTGGCTTAAATTTCTAAGAGGGGTTGGGTCCCGTTACTAGGTTTCTAAGATGGTCAAAAGAAAAATCTTAAAGCTGGATCCTATGCTCTAAAAGAAAGTAAGGAAGACCTCAAAATGAGGTCAATAGTCGAAAATGATGAATACGCAATAATTGCAAACAAAGATAAGAAAAGTTCAATACAAAACACTTGAGGTTGGAGGCTCTTCGAAGAAATCATTGCACAAATGCCACCACCCCACCACCACCTTACCAGTTAATACCTTACCAGTTAATTTACAAGATATGTTTCTCTTTTAGCATGAAAATAATTCAATTTTTTTCTCAAAAGATTATGCAAATGTTGACAATGCAAAGTTAGTTTTAGTATCTTGAGATGCCAATTATTAGGTTAGTTAAAATCAGTCTATGATAGTTTTATGGTCGTTATGTCCAATTCACTAACATTTAGATGTGCATAAAAATTGACACACCTAGATATATACATAAATCTCAAAATTTCGCTCCATATAATCCTGAAAATGTCAATATCTTTGAAAACAATAGCATTGAATGAGGCACACAATATTTAATAGCACTGGACCAAACAATCCAGAAACACGTTAAACTTTACATGCAATAAACCATATATAAAGGAGAAAAGATCTTAAACTCCATAAACTACAAATCGAGGAGCACTCATCACAATAGAAAACAAATTAAAAAAGATGATAACCAGTATAGAAATTTGCGCTTCGTGTTTCACCATGTTGGTCTCAACTATCCAAGTGCTGGTGGTCCAAAACCACATGTGAGACTCCCAAGAAGAGTCAAGAGGTGATTTGAATTTCTAAGAGGGGTGGGTCCCGTTACTAGGTTTCTAAAATGGTCAAAAGAAAAGTTCTAAGGTTAAATCCTAGGCTCTAGAAGAAAGAGCAAGGAAGACCTCAAAATGAGGTCAATAGTCGAAAAGGATGAATATGCAATAATTGCAAAACAAAGATAAAAAAAAATTCAATACAAAACACTTGAAGTTGGAGGCTCTTCGAAGAAATCATTGCACAAATGCCACCACCACCTTACCAGTTAATCTACAAGATATGTTTCTCTTTTAGCATGAAGGTAATTCCAATTTTTTCTCAAAAGGTTCTGCAAATGTTGACATGCAAAGTTGGTTTTAGTATCTTGAGATGCCAATTATTAGGTTAGTTAAAATCAATCTATGATAGTTTTATGGTCTTTATGTCCAATTCACTAACATTTAGATGTGCATCAAAATTGACAAACACCTGGATATATACAAAAATCTCAAAATTTCGCTCCTTATAATCCTGAAAATGTCAATATCTTTGAAAACAATAACATTGAATGAGGCACACATTATTTAATAGCACTGAACCAAACAGCCCAGAACCACATTAAACTTTACATGCAATAAACCATATATAAAAAAGAAAAGTTCAATAAAGAAATGCTTCGATAAGTCTAAAATAGATCTTAAACTCCAGAAACTACAAATCGAGGAGTACTCATCACAATAGAAAACAAATTAAGAAAGAAAGATGAAAACCAGTATAGAAATTTGTGCATTGGAAAAACTTATTAGAGAGAACAAAAGAGTTTACACTTTACATTGATCTTTTTCCGCACGAGATAAGCCACAAGGAGCTTCTCTTATGTCTAAGCATTCATGGAAAGTAAGGAAAAGCCAATAAAAAACCCTAGCTCTCTACAGCGATAACAGAAATAAAGGAACTAAGCGATTAGATCGTTTATATGGCTTTGTACGTTAACTCCTCATTTCTTACTATTGGCTCCAATGTCCTCATTAAATTGCAAATATGCTTTCTTTATTGCATCTCTACCCACAATCTCTAGGAAAGCAAGTAAGTTGAGTTAGGATACAAGCGGTTCTACTTTGTATCACATCATCAAAATTGGACAGGGTAAACCGCACCTATGCTAATAATCATCAGGGTATAATTAAGTTATAGGCTTCAATATTCGAAATTTTGGATATCATGCAAACCAAATCTTAAAATTGCATGGAGAATTATATTGTAGATTTTTTAAGACATGAGGAGAGTGATTGCTTTATACCAATTATGGGATTAAACAATTTGACAAATACCTAATACTATCTTAATTTAAAAAAACAAACACTCAATGGTTGGTAGGTAAGCATGCATACATAATCACTATGGTAAATGCAGCAAAGTTGAGCATAACGTGACAGAGAGGCTTGAGATGGTTCTTGAAAGCAAAGGTCATACAAATGCCGTTCTACCAAAGTACTATTTTAGCATATTTCCAACTCAATTTTTCTATGTAACATAATCATTCTTCAAAAATTATTATATTATTAAAAGGTTCCTACATATCTTAACATAAAGAGGTCAATTTTGGCACTCAAGAGATGTTAGATGTTTAGTTCACATGCATCTCTAAATAAAAGTTTATAAACGAATGTTATGTAACAATTAACATATAGAAACTAGTCAAATTTGACAAACAACTCAAAAATTTCATGGTAATTACAGAAAAGTTGAGCATATAGAAATATAGAAAAACATGAAATTGACGCTTTAAAGCAATCATCACACAAATACCACTATGACCTTAGTGACTAGTTTAGCACATTGCCCGTATAGTTTACCTCGCAACACTAAGGTTCTTTCAGAAATTTACAGCATTATTGAACAATTTTACAGATGTTGACCTATAAAAGTCAGACAATTGTCCGGTTTGCTTAAATCAATCAATACTAAATTTGTAAAGAACCGTTATGCCACAATTTAAATATATCTAAATGAAGATCAAAATTGGTAGACATTTGGAGATGCACGTACAACCAACGGCAAAGCCACTGAAGGGACACCAGACCAAGGGCAAAGCCAACATAGGGGAACCAGGAGCTGGTGCCCCGCTGGGCTAGCCAACTAAACTAATTTAAGAAAACCTTAATAACAAAACACTTGCCTCCCAACAGCTTGGTCGTCAAGCGTCTTGCAAAGGGGAGCCATAGACTCGCCACTCGGCTCTCCTAACATCAAGCATAAAACATTGAAATGTCATCTAATTCCATCCAAATCTTGTGTAAACCTTATCAAAAAAATTCAAGAAATTTACACTAAAACTGTCTAGCAATTCACTCGAGCATCATTCAAGGAGATTAGAATTCAGAATTTAGACCATATCATCTCCACTTCCTCAATCATAAAGAAAAAAGTTGCAACACATCTTAAAGCATTGACCTTAAAATTCCTAAATCCACTCCAGCCTAAGCACCTTGCTCTAGGTCTGATAACTCGCCTTCTGAGAATCACCCCCATCATGCTTGCTTGACACAGAAAAATCCCAAGTATTTTTTGATAGATCATAGATCACAAAAACCCTCCTAAACTCACCGTTCGCATAAGCATGCTTCAACTTGTAGTTTTTTGAACCAAAACTATAGTTCACCAATAGTTTATTCGCCTTATTGAACTGTATCGAACCGTCAACCACTGACTTGTCCTTGTTAACAATTTTACGAATATTCATTAGATCATTTCAAGTGCAGCTCTTTCCTTCTCAGCCTTATCAACTTTAAGCTCCTCTCACCGCAATAGAGAAGAGTTTCAAATACCATTTATCATAGATGATTTTGCCAACTTGTCTCCTAAATATCATTCTTTTATTTTTTGCCATTTTCGGCAGCGTATGCATCTCAATTAAGATATCAAACGGCGATAAAAAATCATGCCCGACTTATTCTCCCATTCGTCGTCGTCGATGAGAAGCAAGAGGAAAAGTTTGAGGACTTTCTTTATGTGGGTTTGAGCTCTTCATCAAGTATGATGGCCTTATAAGGTATTCATAACCTTTTTCGCACTGTGATGTTTCTTTCATCAATTTGAAGTTTACAATGGAAAGATAAACATATTCAGTCCTTAAAAATATTTGTTAAATGTAATAAAAAGGATCTTTTTGGGTAAAATGACATTTACCCTTTTCCCCTTAAGAATTTGCTATCGCAAAGACAACAAGATTTTTTGTGCAAGTAACAACTAGAAATGAATATGATAAATACATAAGCAAATATGAGAAAGCGTAACTAATTTATCTAAGGTATTTTTTAAATCATTAATTTGTGCCCCAATTAAAAAAGGGGTATTTACATACATACCACAGAAATCTTATGTGTTGCATATCTAACACCATACTCTCATATTTACAAACATGCCACTCATATTTGTAACACCTCATAAAAAATATCACTATCAATATCTTTTTATAAGTGAAATACAACTTTCTATGCATTGGTTTATGTACTTTGGGTGTTAGATATGTAAATACATAAAATTTGTGTGGTATGTATGTAACTTTCCCTGAATAAAATTCCAGGCTCCTGGCTCAGTGGCTCCTGGCTCCGCCCCTATGTACAGCTCAATATTTCATTTTATATAAGGGGCAATAACATACAGGGCACCCAAAACATTACTACTTACAAATCAAGCACCCTCTTTCATTCATTTTTAAAATTCCCACTCAAATATCAAAGCTCATGATAAAACCCCAGCCCAAATTTTTATTTTTATCAAATTCACAATGATTTGATCATGGCACGCGTAAATGCATAATTTTAATAGTTCAAAAAATTAACTAGATGCTTGATTTGTAAATAGCTAAGTTTCTTGCACTCTGTATGTAATTATCCCTTTTAATCCTGAAAAATAATGGTATCTTTGAATACAGTATTTAGAAAATATTTAACAAACAGCACTGACATCTAATAACAATGAAATCTAAATAATCACACTGAATCAAACAAGCCCGAAATACAGTAACATGTACATAGACCTGACGAGCAACGATAATCACAAAATAAGCTAGATATGAAAACGCCTCAATATGAGTCCAAAATAGATCAAGCGCCCCATAAGTTACAGATCCGCGAACATTCATCATAACATAAAACATATAAAAAAGGAGACGGCGATCGATGAAAAGATTGATTAAATAAAACACAAAGCTTACGTTTATCTTTTGTTGCTCGAGGTGAGCCGCGAGGAGCTCTTCTTGCGTCTGGGCACTCATGGCGACTATAGAAAGGCACAGAAAAAACCCTAGCTCCGATGGAGATGACGCGCTTCGCTCGATTGGATTAGAGTTTTGATGGTTTATATAGCTCCGAGCCTACGTTAGTTGATTCACCATTTCTCACAATGGACCCATTAGTGAGCGGGTCCGGTTCACCAGACGTCAACCTATGTGCGGGTCGATCATATCATGATAATTGGACCGGGCTAACCGCGACTGATAAGCATTCGGGTAATTATAAATCTAAATATTTTGTAAATTTCATAAACAACCTTTAAGTTGTATCTATAGCCCAGTTCCAATTTATCAAAAACATTGATATGCCATTAACAAATTTTCATCATCTAACACAAATTTTGAGGCATGACAAGATTTTGAGATAACATTTTGAGCAAGAAACATTCAAACTTCAATTAAGAGTCATCCAGAACTTTAATTTCAGTAAACTTATAGTCAAACTGATCGGCTCGCTCGATGAGACCGACCCAATGATATAAAAACTAGTCTAATCTGAGTCAGATCAAGCTCGGATCAAATCATTAAATCACTTTTGAAAGATTTCTGGAGGCGTTTGGAAGATCAAACGAATGTTACATCAACTAACGTAGGCTCGGAGCGTTTTGATGGTTTATATGCTCATCAAACGACTCAGATCGGGTCAATGAATATTACATGTCGCGCCGCGTGCGAAATTGGCTCAAATTGACCCGATCGTCAGAGAAGCTTGTTTGGATCGTCAGGAGCTTAAGTCCAACATATTCCTATCGTCGACCACCACCGATCGTCAACGACCATCGTCGACCTTTATCGACCACCGCCGACCTTTGTCGGCCACCGTCGACCACTAATGACCTCTGTCGACCGTCCTCGACTATCGTCGACCACAGCTGACCTTTGTCGACCACCACCGGTCGTCATCGATTATCATTGACTACCGCTAATCACCGCTGACCTCGGTCGATTACCGCTGATCTCCGTCGACCACCTCCAATCATCGCCGACAAGCACTGACGGTCAATGACCACCGCTGACCTCCGTCGATTACCGTCGGCCACCAACGACCACCTCCAATCACCGCCGACTAGCTCTGACGGCCAACGCCCACCGCTGACCTCCATCAATTACCTCTGGCCGTCGTCGACCACCGTCGATTACCGCTGACCTCTGTTGGTATCAATTTTTGATGTCACGAGTGTAGAGTGTCTACTTGCACGGCTTAAGATGGTCAACGGTTCGTCCGCAGCATCAGGTGGCTCAAGACACTCACCCGGGACCTTTCGGCGCGTGTTGAGGGGCACTTAGCTAAGGTTGTTTTGCTAAACTTTGGCTTTCTCTTAAACGAAGGTCGATCGACATTCTGCTCATCAAACGAGTCTGATCAGGTCAATGAATATTACGTGTCGCGTCGCGTGCGAAATTGGCTCGAATTGACCCGATTGTCAGGGAAGCTTGTTTGGATGACCACAGAAGACAAAACAGATCACGCGAGTGCGTCCGGAACGTCAATTTCAGCATAGGGGGCGTTCATTTCAGTACGGCTTCGCGAGCGGGCCAAAACTATACGAATTATTATTTTATACCCAGTCGTCGAAAAAGTTGTCCAGATGACCCCGGGTGACAAAACGGACCACATCAGTGTGTCTGAAAACGTCGATTTCATCTATGAAGGACGTTCATTTTGATGAGAGGATGTGTTTGGCAAAAAAAAACGTGGGGAGCACTAAATAATAATAATAAATTATTATTATTAAAATAAAAAAAAGGGAGGAGAAGGATTATCATATTCATGCATGAAGATCATGCCTATTCAAAACAAATAATAATAACAAATAAGAAATAAAAAGTAAAAAATACAATCCCATTTTCTATCCTATTAGCTGTCACACATGCTCCTCTTCCCCCCCCCCCCCCTTCCTT